CCTTAATAATTATTTCCTTTTAAGTATCTCAGTAACATTATAAATTTGTTCTCATAATCAAGCATTGTACTGTAAATCAATTGTCTTAAAAATCATCAGGCATTTTAGTAAAATAATTTGTCTCAATTTAGTTTTATATTTTATTTTTTTGTATTTTCGAATATTTTTTTTTTTTCATTTTCTTCAAATTTTACTAAAGCATGTATATTATCCTTAGAATTTTAAGTACTAAAGCAGGGTCAAGATATATTTCTATACTATCTAGGTATATTTAGTACTTTAGATATCTTCACACATTTATATATTTAGTAATCAATACCTTAAATATCATGAGACCACAAAAAAAAAATTTAGAAATTAAGATTGAGTTATAATAGAATAAGGATAAATGGCTTTCAAATCGACTGTTTTAACCACAATTTGTATATTTTGAAAATATATCATTACATTTGAGTATTTAGGCATTGGTATCAATATGATAATAATGTTGTTTAATAGGAAAACGTACTGGAAATGAGTACATATACATTTATTATTATAATATGTATACTAGTATAACTATGATATAAGAAAAATTCTAAAACAAAAGGTAAAATCATCAAGAGTTATCAATAAAAGATTTTTAAGAGTTTATTTACACATAGATACATACATTTTACAATACCTTTTCTTTAGAAATCTGTAATTAAGTAAATCCGTAATTAAGTTGTTTGGTGTGATGTGATCTATTCAAAATTGAACAGTAAAACGAAAACAATGAAGATAAATAAGATTAGTTTAGCCAACTGGAGAAAATCTATTTCATTAATCATATCTACATATTTCAATAGAATAGTAGATACGATACAAAAAATTGTTCGTAATCTATCAGAAGGTATGAAACAGTCCAAAATATTAACTTAGAAAGTGAATAATATAAGTATATGTCCCGTAACAATGTAGTAATGGTACCTCTTTTCTTTTTTTGAAAAATTTTGCTGTCGGTTTAGTTTTATTTATCGAACAGGAGCTATAATATTTCTTTGCGGCCATCATTTCATGATGTCTTTCTGACTTCCTTCACATAATGACGTTATTAATTCTGTAAATAATTGAATTCTGTGTGGCTTCGCAGATTTGCATGATAGTGCGAATTTCAATTATTATAAAAAAGTGTTTTAAAGTAAAAGCGGTTATTAGTAACGAGACATAGCCTAACGTTAACGCAAATGTAAGGTTTTGAGTTTTGTTCTTAAAGCTGAGTCAACTGTACAGTCTAAATGGAATTGTTCTAAAGGGGATGAATGCTGTTAGTCGCATATATATGAATCCTTCTTTGTCACAAATTAAATTTTATGTGCCAACTAAATATTATAAATGAGGCTGAATTTAGTTTAGATTTCGAAAAAAAAACGTGAGCAAATAAATTTATAAATCCTTATGTTGGCATGTTTGACCCATTTCGGAATGTACTTAACAGGTTTGTGCACCATATCGCGTTGCCAATATTAATTCCTTATCGGTAAGCGGACAAAATCTCTCCGGTTCGCGGTGCTGCGCGATTCTGAATGAACTGATCAGAATGCCTTTTAACAAAAAAAGAAGTCATCGCTGTTTCTTCGCTTTTTCATAAAAAATATAGAAAAGAAATGTAAAAATCCAAAGCAGAAAGAAAAAATGTAATTCCGTTTAATAGCAGTTTTAATTTAAGAGAAGTTCGTCTTATAGAAGTTGCACTGTATTACAACTCAAATTCATTTCGATCATTATAGTATGTATTCTACTTAATGTTAATATTAGAATGTAAGATTTCTTCTTAATGAAAAACAACTGAACGGAAACTAATTTATTTTAATTTTTTTTACTAATTTTCTCCATTTCTTATCAGAAAATTTATTTATCCAAATGTGAGATTAATTTAATTAATGAGTAAATAGAAGTGAAAACAAAATTTCATTTTGAAATTATTTTTTACTTCAAAATCGAATTAAATTAATTGACAGCTAGAAATATTTAACTGTAATTTACCTATGCTAAATAATTACTATGTGGCTTGAAATTTCAAAAGTTAAAGAAAGTTTTTAACCTTTTTACAAATCAGCTTATGTGCTGGAATGAGTATGTGTGTAAATAAAATATAAATAAAATCAATATCACTAATTAATACTAAATTGTGGTTTCTCTTTTTCAATTAAAATTTCGAATAATTTCTTAAGCATTTTTGGTTAAAATAATTTGTAATGAGCTAAAAATTATACCAGCATTTCAGTCAGAATTAATTGAATTTTATTTTTTTTCATATTGGTTTTGATTGACTAACATTACTGTAGGTGTACATTGAATACCTGATTTTGTTTGTTATCAAATCCAATTTTAAATTTTTCCGAATACAAAATTTGTAGAATCTATATGCAATGTCTTATCCCTATCTATTATAGCTTACAATGAGGATAAAAATAAAGCTAGGAGTAACTGATTTGAAGACTAAAATGAATGTACGCTATTTAAATTCAAGAGCAGGATATTAGTTTTTATACTAACGTAAATTATGTTTAAGTAAAAATTCTAGGAAAATTTTTAAAAGCTTTGCACCGAAAAGCAATAAAAAAAAATCGGTACATAACTGTGGTCAGTACATAACAGACGGCAATCTGTATTGTCTAGTTAAGTGAAAATGTTACAAAATATTATAAAAATGTCTGTTAAATACTTCTTTCCAATTTTTAGGACATTAGAAAGCTTATAGTTAACATACCTAGAAAAATGTAAATTTGGCTCTTAGTAGAGCTTCGCTTTGTGCTACCCGAATTCCCTGAAATGCTTGCCAGTTAGTTTTTGTAACAACCAGAACTCAAATATCAAATTTCAAGAACTTCCATCAATTCGTTCCGTAAATATGGTGAAAAATGTAAAATCGACCCGCAGAACAGTTTTCGAACGCTGATATTTCCAAAAAATTTATATGTTCATTGCTTTAATACGAAAAATTTAAATATTAAATTTCAATGAAATCTGTTGATTATTCCTCTTCATATACGCAAAAATTTATATTTGGCCCGTAGTAAACCTCCAGTTTCTGACAACTGATTTCTTCCAAAAGTTAGGAGGTTCCGCGTACGGTCGAATGAAGCTTATATATGAAATTTCACATAAATCTGTTGAACACTTTCTTCATAATGATCAAAAACGTAAAACAGGCCCGCGATAAAGTTCAGTTCCCGAGGCCTAGTTGAGATAAACTTACTTATAAAATTTCATCAAAATCGGTTCCTTACCTATACACAATGCGGTCGGTAATAAAATCCATAACCTTTGACATCGACAAATGTGATTAAAAATAATTCTCGCCTTCCGGCCTGCAATATTTTATGATTCCAGGATTTGAAAATAAAAATTGTTTGTCGCAAAATATTTGTATGTGTAGTAAGCTACTTAACAAATATACTCACATAAAAAACCTATTAAAATAAGTTTTCATTTAATTCTTTGCATATGAACTGTCGATTTTTGTGTTTGTAAAGATTTACATTGATTATTTCTCTACATACAATCAATTTCTAGCTCAAAACAAAATAAATTTCTCGTACAAAATCTGATGTAGATTTTGAAGATAAAGATAAGGTGCTAAAAAACTGAAAAGAATGTTATGAATGTCACATGGAGAAATTTTTCGTTTATTTTTATTTTCATAAAAAGTTGTTCCTAGAAAATATAGATGGCTCTCCATACATGCTACGAATTCTTTTTTCATATCTAAATGAAAATTTTTAATTTATACAACAAGGTTCATGAAATATTAAATTTTTTTATAAGAGTTATGAAATGGTTTGTGCTTAAGCTAATATTACCGATTTCTTTCTGTGCCATCTATGGTTAATTATTTGCACTATAAATTTAGTACCAATTTGACTTCAGTAGCATCTAGTATTTATTAGGAGAAGAATTACTCTTTGTATCCTAAAAGTTGTTACGTCACAATGTAGATGGCTCTGAATACATACTAGAAATTTTCTTTTTATAACATAACAAAATATAGATGGCACTACTACTTATTTTTTTTAATTTACAAATTGGTTTGTGTTCTAAATGATATTACCGATTAAGATTTTTGTTTTGTGTGACATCTAGTATCAATTATTATTTACTTAAAAGAGATAATTATATTATTTCAATGTCGGGTAATATACAAAATGTGCATTAGATGAACTACTTAGCGCGTGAACCATGTAAATTTTATCGTGCAATAAAAATCTATCATTACATTTTTGAATTTTCACTAATAAAATATTGTACAATTATAAGAAACATCAAAAAATTTTGAAGAAAATTGCGCATATGGCGGCCTCTTTATTCATCTGCTTGAAACATTTCTACAATTATAAAATCGAAAATGATTAGAAAATCGAAAATTCAGGAGTCGCTTCCCCACCATAAAAAACAAAATGTCAGGCCATCCAACTTCCACAACAAATGAATTGTAAAATATTTTATATATTTTTTCAAAGCTTTAGTTTCGAAAATCATTTTTTTTTTAATCATCTCTGGATGGTGGGAATAGTTCTCATTTCCAGCAAAATTATATTAAGAACGAAAAATAACTCATCTAATTCAAGGAGTTAGTATGGTAGACTGAATAAAACTGTTAATAAAAAAGTGGAAAACTGCTTGTAGAAGTTTTATATTCAAAATCCAACAATATTCAGGACAAATGGAATTCTCAGTATTAAAAAGAAGACTTAGACTAATAACATCAACAAAGCTGTTAAATTTTTTTTCAGTTTCAGCTTAAAGACATTCTATAGACAAGCTCCTCATCACTCCGAATTATATTTCAAAGTTTATAAGTTTCCTAATTTCCAATGCGAAAAAATTAAAGAAAATTTTTGTTTATTATTTCATTCAAATTATATTTGAAAGGATACACATACATACTTATTGATATTAAATTTTTTAACATTAAATACTAAGCATAATGTTCTTATACGAGTATAACTTACACGAATATTTTTTTTAAATAATATTTATAAACAGATAATTTTATTAAATTTACATAATTGTAGGGAAAACAGCTAAAATAAAAATATTTAACAAAAATTTAACAATTTCATAAAAAATCAAATTCTCTAAAATACAAAATACATATGCACATACATATATATACATACATATATATATAACATGTTTATATAAAAAATGTTAGGTATATATATACAAAAAATTAAAGTTATATTTGCAACTAATCACAATTAAAAATTATTTAACTAGACTATGGAATAAAAATTCTACTAAATTTATTTCGAATAAGAATGTTGTTCGAATTTCGAATAAAAATGTTGCTGAATTGGAATTGTAATTATTAAAAAATTTAATTGAGTGTGCCCGGCGAATAACGACTGGAATTGTTATAAAATTTTTTAAATTCGTTTTTTATGGAAATCAATTTGTTGTCGAGAATGCCGGTTATTTTGTAAAGAAAATGGAAGATGTTAAAAAAGAAATGTAAAAAGTATCACAAATCACACTATTGTAATTTTTTGGAAAGCAGTTTCAAGCTTTTAAGGTTCTTTTGGTGAAAAATCTTTATTGATCTGCGAATTACTTCATTATTGTTTTGACTCTTGATGTATTCAATTAATGTATACCTATACTAAAATTATTTACACATTACATTTGTAGACTGAAATTATCTTGTAATTTATTTACATAATAGCTATTTCAAAATTAAAATTATATATGCTCTTGAATTACATGCTAAATATCATGCAGTTAGTTTATATTTTTAAAATTAGGTTTTTGAGCTGCATGGCAGGTAACGGGCAAATCGATTGTGCGAATAGCATCGATCCCTGCCAGAAAAAATATAGTTTTTATAGGATTATCATATTGTCGGACGGACGGACATATCTAAATCAACACAGAATTTTACGCACATTACAACTATATTGCGAACATATTCTGCAGACAAAACCTAAAAATGTTATAGGTTCGCATACAAAAGTTAATATTTCATATATAGCATTCTGGCAATTTGCATAATAGCGCAATTGTGCTGATATTCGATAAAGATATATACAATAATTCTGTGGTTAAAAGCAAAATCTGCCTGAATTAAATTCGGTAGTAATTTCCATTTTGTTACAAAAATTAATTCATAAACTTAATTCTTATTTCAAACTTAATCTATTAAAACGACAATAATTTTTTTTAAATGTAATTGAAATTGAGTTGTTGGTTATTTTACTTACATATTGCCAAATAATATCGACAAAATCTCTTTGATAACTTATTTCGGTAGAACTATGAGTCTAAATGTTTGTACTTAGAGCCTTATCATGATCGGCGAAACGAATAACTAGAAGAATCGAATGAACTTGGCAAATTTAGAAATATTTCAATTTATGATGCCTTTAATAATCATTGATTCGCCAGATAAAAACGTTGCTAATTCAAGACATCAAAAATGACATTATCATTCATCTTAAAGTATTTTATTTGTTAATGTGTACTTATTTTTGATTTTAATTTATTCGTCATGGCTGCCAAACAGAATTTTTATTCGGCATGGCTGCCACACAGAATTTTTATTCGGCAATTTTCATAGCTTCTTATTTACTTAAAATCTAGGCGAATTCGGCAATCATAATATCACAAATTCATTCCAAATTTGTCATTCGCTTTGCCGATTATGATAAAGCCGTTAAACTACTCGAAACGCGTACTTTTATTCAATTAGACAATTTTGCTTTAAAACCACGGATTTGTTAAAAAAAATAACATTAAAATTTTTATATCAGATGTTTTGCTGTTTTTTTTTAATATTCTAAAATCTAATTAAAAAATATCTTACAAAATAATACAGGAAAATATTAAAAATATTAAAAAGAACAAACAATACTAAAAAAAACAAAAAAAAAAACAAAACAGAAAATATGTAAAAACTTTTATAAATGCTCTGCGATTATTGAAAAATTTTTAAAATAAATACGTACATTTTAACATTCATAAACATACGTACAAATATAATATTGTATATATGAACTTATACATACATACATACATATATAAAAATCAATTGAAAATAATTTATTTTTTTTTCTATTTTGTTTTTAATTTTTTTTTTTTTTTTAATTATATTGCTTCTTCTTCTTTTTTTTCTAATTATTTACAATTTTATTATTAAATTTCGACTTTCTTTTCATTTGTGGTTTCCTCTTCTTTATCAAGATCCTTTAGCTCTGTTTCTTTGACTTCAATATCAAATATTTTTAAATCTTTAACGTAGTACCAAACGCCAACATCAAACAGTGTACCAATAGTTACAAATACCGATGCAATCAAATTCAGTTTGTACCTAAAATATGGAAAATAAAAGAAAAATTATTTTAAAATATTAATGGCTACGTAAATGATGGAATGATTTTATTAGAAAAAAAAACTTGATGAAAACAGCATCTATCCAACTAAAATTTACAGGCATTAAGCTAACGGTAGTACATATGAATTTGAGGGGCGCAACAAGAGAACTTTTATAAAAAAAAGGTTTTACATTTAAACTTTTATTCTGTTGTTTTAATGAAATTGGCGAAATTTAAATAAAATAAGTAAAAAATTGGAATTTTCCTGAAATTATATGCTTTTGAAGTCGAAAAATTTTGGTAAATAAGACTAAGTCGAATTTTTAAACAATGTAATTCACTGTAGTTCTCTTCATTCATGATAAATTAAGGTTTGTTAATCACTTTTATACGTAAATTTTCACTATGACCATCAAATTTCGTCAACTATTTAAGGGTCAAGCTTTAACCAAGCTATTATCACGCTGCTTAATATTTTCTATAATTCTAAAAATTCTATTTTGGTACTACCTTCTGCTCTCTATTCATATACGCAAATCAATTAATTTTCTTCAAAATATTTGAATTTTGTAATGTGAAACTTGTTACTAATACGAGTGCTATACTTCTCTTATTTTCGACAAAACATTTTACGAAAACAATTTTAAATATTAATTATGAGAGCACTGAAAAAGAAATATGAAAGCAGCCTTATATTAACCATAATGAGATTAAGCATTGTAATGATTTTCCAATCGAAAACGAGCTTAATAATCACAAAATTCACAAATGAGTGTAAAGGCAAAATTATTTAGCGCGAATTGTCAATGGATGCAATTGTTATGAAATACACAAGAAATATAAAAATAAGCTAAGTTTTAACGAAAAACCCCAATTAATTCTGTTATAAGCTTATTGATGAAACATTAGTTTCGCGTAAATGTGGAATTACCTGGAAGCAATGGTTTCTATAAATGGCTGACCTAATACATTCTAACAATTTTTTCAACATTAGAAATTTTTTTGTGTTAGGAACAAGACAGGAAATAAACATTCCTTTTAATTTTTGTTTTTCTAATTTTATTACATAACTGTATTACTTTTATATGATTATATCTGACTATATCAGCTATTCATTGGAATTTCAATTATTATTCCTCTTTTTTTTTTTAAAAAAAAATATTTGTATCCTTCGTTGATTTTAACGTATATATCAGCATTGTATTTTAAGAACGGAAAGAATTTAATTTTAAAATTCAAGTTAAAAAAACCATGATATTTATTTTGTTTACTAAAGTGAAATTGCACAGGAAATGAAATTAGTGGGACAGTTGAAAAATGAAAATAGAATAAAAAATTTGAAATGTTCATAATGGGAGTTTATTCAATTATAAAGCAAAAATGTTGTAAAATGATAAATAAGAAATACCTTAAGGATTCAGCATTGTAATACCAGCAATTTCCTTTCGTTGAGCATGTTTTGCCCCAGACGAGACATAAACTATCCAAAACCCAGCCGAAAAATATTGGACTTGGAATAAATGCAAATAATGACATCATCATTAACCCTAAACCCATGGCAGCACTAAAAAATACCATATTTATATAAATTACATGCCATGAAGCTGTAAAAGTTACTTCTTACGTTTTATCTTGTTCTGGTACACATCTTACAGATACTAAGAAATTACTTGCTCTACCAGTTGCCCCAATAAATTTCAAGAAACACATTACTGATAAAAACATTACGAAATACTTAAAGCAATCGACAGGGCACGCTCCAGGTATCGCTTGTCCTCCCATATTCAACTAAAAATATACAGGATTTCATATTATACTGTCATTATTTAACATTAAAGCAACAAAAACTTACTTTTTCAGATATTTGAGACAAAAACGTTGTTGTAATACTTGTTTGCTCCGTTGTTGTAGTCATTGGTAACTGTGTTGTTGTAATCGGTAACTGTGTTGATGTTGTTACAAATTCCGACGCCGTTGTTTCAGTTGACATTGGGTCTGTTATGCTTTCTAATGTCGTTGTTTCAAAGAGTTCTAAACTTCTCTTAATACGTTCTATTATTGTTGAGTTTGAATTACTACTATTTGTTGATGTTGAATTCAAATATCTAGACAGTTTTTCACCAATTAAACCGTTATTTTCAAATACGGTAGATGAAATACAAGCGCAATTATAATAAATTGTTTGATTTTTATTATTTGTATACTGCTTTTCACAACCAGCATGGCATGGTGATATATAGGTCTGACCATCTTGACCACAAACTGGTGAGTATCGGACATAATCACATTGGCATAATGAGTTACACGTCAATAAATTGGAATTTCTTTGATAAAAAATTTATTTTAGTATAATAGTTATTAAGTATTATAACAGAAACAATAAATATACTTACGGTTCTGGTATATTCATAACCATAGAATTTTCATTTCCCGGACAACCTAAAAATGCATAAGTTACCATTCCGAGAACTGAAAAAAGACCACAAGCAACATTCCAAGCTGCCATATATCTAGCCCTTGGTTTATATTTTGATATTATAAATCCAGATAGTAACACACCAATAGCTGAAAAAGCTAATGCAACTGTACCAGTCACTAAACTTGATGTTGCAGCGGATTGTCTATATTGTACTTCAATATATTTCGGAGTAAAAATCCAATATGGCATATATCCGAAGAAATAAAATATTGAGGCGATATTATTGTACATAAAAGTCTTGTTTGTAATAAGTCTTTTAAATGTTTTGATCATATCCTTAAATGATGCTTCGTGTTCAGCCGGTGTTTCAGTTGATTCCTTTACATCATTTGAGTTTTGTTTTTGTCTTTCTTTTTCAACGGCTTTACGAGCTGCCGCTCTAGGTAATTGTTTTGGGAACATTGATAAGAATAAGCCCGAAAATATCAGTAAAATACCCAAGATTATCCAACCTAACCACCATGCACCCAACCATCTCGGATCGTTATTTTTTATAACGGGATGCAAATATGGAACAATATAAATTCGTAGACAAAACGATGCTAATGCGTAACCCAAAGCTGGCCCCAACATACGCATGAAATATGACAGACCTAAAATTAAGCAAAACAAATAATTTTATTTTACAATTTGCAATTTAAAATAACAACAAATTTCTTAATTCAAAATTTTTTAATGTTGTCTATTTGAAACAACAAAATTTTCCGCTTAGTTACAAGCAATTACCAACAACGATCTCATCTGATAGATGTCTCGGAAACGAATTTATTAGTTTTTTTAATCTATTAGTTACACACAAAAGAATTCTCGCATACGAGTTATTCAAGGCAATATTATATTGCCATTTTTTTCAGAGTTTTTTATCGATCGGAACGCATTCTAATCGATCGCAAGAGATATTGGCAATCGTATTGTGATCGCCAATATTTGAAATTGGAGAATTTTAATTTCTTCAATTCAATTTTTCAATTTAATTCTCCAAAACGGGAGAACACAAAAGAACTATTTTCAACAGGATTCAACCTTAGCTTTTCTATCTATTTGTCTGCGAACGTACTTTCTCATTTCTTCAGTTTAAGTTTAACGGATTTGAGCATATAAAATTCACATTTGGGTTAAGGCAATAAAATTTACGGTTTAATCAATATTTGGGGTAAATTGGACTGCAGCCCAGCTGATAGTTCTGACAGCATCTAAAACAATAATCAACAATTTTTTTGCGATTGTTTCATATACCGTATAGGAACCAGACCTTTCCTATAGCGCTCCTAAATTAAAAATTAGAAATTTTTTAATTTCATTTTTTTTTTGGAAGTTTTTACACACAAACACAATTTCATTTGTACAATATTTTCTATTTTAATTTATTTCCAGCATCACTTGTTACTTTTATGTCTTCTCAATTACATTTACTCGCAATTCTGAATTTCAAACTTCAGTGGATAATTTCTTTTTACATATACTCGCTATCAAAAATTAAGGCTCAAACGATGCTTCGAATTGACTTCTGGAAAACTTGCTAAAATTTACAAGGAAGAAAATACTGGCTAATTTAAAGGTTATTAACATGTCACTTTAAAAACAAATTAATTCACCAATACAAATTTATTTCTGGGGTACATTGATTGCGATTATAAAAATTAATATTTATCTACGTACATAAGTGTATTCCCAATTTGTGGTTTTTTTTTTGTTATTTTGTTTTTAATCACAAAAAAAAATTAATTATTATTATATACAATACAATGTGTAAACATCGTCCTCAATAACACAATTGAAATCGACGAAAAATAAACACAGATTTAATTTTATCAGTAATTGCTGATGACTAAAGCTACTGGTTAAGTTGCTTATTCTATAAATTTTTACCCAAAGAATAAATTTACATTTTGTAGGCAAGGCTGTTTTCAAATTTTAAGTATTGAATGTGTTGAACAAAAATATAAATTTGGTTCTTAATACACATTCACTTTCATTTACTTCAGGTTTTTAGTTAACTTCGGCGATAAACAGAAATCAAATATTTAGTTTCAAATAATCCCTTTTATATCACCGAAAGTGTAAAGACTGCCCTTAATAAGAATTAAGATCATTCATAAGATCATAAGAACCTAATTGTTTTACAAAATTTCTTAGTTATTTTTTGTCACAACTAGGGCTGAAACATCAAATTTCGAATAAATACATTAATTATTTTGGTAGAATATATGTATGTGAGCATTTTATATTCGAAAACCTTTTAAAGTCACTCCATTATCGGAAAGAACATGCTGTCATATATGTACATATGTTTATAACATTTCCAAAAAATCTGTTGATTAAGATGATAAGAAATATGACATATTGGCTCTACTTTTAAAGGCAGTGTTTGCGGAATCTTACATATTTAAATGCTGCTCCTTCACATCCAAAAGCACATATAAAATCATTTGAATCGTACTTGAGATAACTTAATGCACAAATCTAAAAACTATTTCCAAAAAAAAATTTAAAATAACACCGAAAATAACACCTCCCTTGATTTATGAAATTTGCAAATGTTTTAAAATTTATTAACATGTTAGTTACGTCATATATTTGCTTAGCGAACATCTACATTAACATATGTCCTACATAGTAATTGTATATAACAAATCTTTATGTTCAATTAAATGATAATTAAAAAAAAAAATTCTTATCTGCTCATTTAATCAGCACGCGACTTTATTTTAGAAAAAAATTTTCTTCAAATTGTGTTATTTTTTTATTTTCCAAAATAACTTGGTCGTCGTTCACATAACATTGTCATTTTTTATTTCCACAACTACTTAGGTAATTAAACAAATTTTTATTTAATACTACTCCTACTGAAAAATCTACATGCTTATCATATCTTATAAGCTATTAAATATAATTAAACGAGAGAAAGTTAAATATTTTAAAGACTTAATTCAGAAACAAACAAAAAGAAAAAAAATTTTAGAATGTCAAATCTTTACAACAATTAAATTGTTTGCGAAATTAGTAAAATTAAAAATGCTATAAATCATCTTCACTTACGTACACTAGATAGTTGATTTAAAGTAGAGAATTTTATTATAATTGCGAATTTATGAAATATGAAACAGGATCGGTTCTAATACACAAAATAAAATATTCATATAATAGGTAAACTATGACATTCAAATTATCCCATAAAAACGTACATTCAAATATTCAGGAGAACTTCTAGTTATAGTGATTCGGTATAGTTTTGAGCTTCAAATGTACTTTGTTTGCCTTGCCATCGCATTCTTTTATAAGCGTTGACTACAAACAAAACCCTGAAGTACATACAATGAAAAATATTCCTTTTGAAATTTTTTTTTCGTTCTTTCAAAGTGATATGATTGTAATTGAATAGCTCTGCTATTTGATTTTTCAAAGAGGAACAAAGTGTGCAATTAATGGCACTAAAAGAGCTTTTCATGCATATTTTACGACTTTTTTTGTACCAGCAGATTAAAAATAACTAAATGAAATAGCTAAGCTTTGTTTACAATAATTACAGTAATAATTGAATAGCTTTATTTTAAAAGTAAAGCTAATATTAAATACGCGAGGCGTCCAAAATCAACTAAAGCCAGATCTGTTAATGGTTATATGATATCAGTGTCACACAAACATAACACTTTATAGATGACTGCAGTTATCAATATTTTGAGGCACGACATTTTACTAAATAAATAAGATATTGTACGACCTTGGGAAAAAGTAAATTTAAGTACTTAATTTTTGTTTAATTTGTACTAAATTGTTTATAACAAGAGTAATAAAATAACATTACTTTTTGAAAGTACAAAAAAAGAGGAGTATCTAAAGCAGGAAGAACTTGAATTTCTTAAATATTTTGCTTAAAGAATTTCTTAAAAATTTGTGCTAAATTAATTTTAAATAAGACGTGATTTCTGAATAGAAATTGGAGCATGACATTGTTGGGATTCCAATCCGATCGAAGTAAGTCAATGATTGCATTTATTTTACACTGAAAAACAAATAAAAATTTTTTACTACTTACTCAATAGTGCTGGAGTTTTTGATTTTTTAATATTGTCATCCATATATGATACTCCTAATGTATAATATAAGGAACCTCCAATTCCTGATATAAATTGTGCCATGAAAAGCATTATTTGTGGTGCTAAATTACCATCACCTGATATACAACTTACAGCATCATCATCTATACATTAAATACAAAATATCAAATTTAAAAATTATCAGAAATGTTTGCTTGATCTTTATTATTACCTTTATTGCACATCATTTGTTTCTTTTGTTTTTCTTGTACTTCTGTTAAATTTACATCAGCTTGTGTCCCATACTCTTTTGTCAGCATTAATGCATCTTCTCCTGGTCCATAAATAAAATGTGGTAAAGCAGTCAGAAAACAAAATGCAACAATTGTTATTAATCCAATACCAATCCATCTTGGTCTATGCCCCTTACCAGCATAATAACTTAAGGCAGCAGATACGAATAATTGACTTATATCGTTACCTACTGTTATAATACCTGTACTTTTTGATGGTATCTTAAAACGTTTCTCTATCGTTGTTATTGTACCATTAAAATATGCGTATGTCATAGAAAATATTAAACCGACTATTCCATATATTATTACATATGCCTTTTTATTTGCAAATCTATATTGTATAAAATATTTTTTTAAAAATATTTTATTAATAAATAAATAAATAATAAGCAAAGAGAAAAATAAATATAATGTGAAATACTTAATTATTGCAATTAATTAAAATAAATTCGAAAGTTATAAAAAACCTGAATAATATTTAATTAATAAAATTTTTATATTTTTTTCGATTATTGACTTTAAATTAACAAAAAAAATAATTAATGAAGAAAATTTAAGAAGACAAAATTCGTATTTTTTCTATTTTTAATCAAAAATATTTTCCACTATAAAAAGTTAACATATAGATACTATGCTAATGGAGAAAGCTAAATTCATTGAATGTTGTAAGATATTCTAACGGTAAGATATTTTATTTACGAGTATCATTGAATTGAATTCGAAAAATTCTGATAAACTTTGGAAACGGCAGCATATACATAGCTTCTTAATAAAGAATAAGTTTCGCTTATTAATATTTAATTTATTTAATTTATACTGAGAGTATAAATTGTAGTTTGACTTGAGAGATTGCAGTAACAAGCAAAAATTCAAAGGAAATTCATTGTCAAAATTAAATCAGTTATATTACTAACAGTTTAACAGGTATTTAACAATTTAATGTTTCTTTCATTTGCTAAAAAATTCCTGTTCATGTTAATTCAAAAATCAGTGAACACTTAATACCAAAGAAAATTGAAATTTTATAAAAGGTGTTCTAAAATCAATGGTAATTTCGAAATGGGGTGATAAATACGTTCAGCCCAACAAGAAAATGCATATGACATTTTATTTTTTGCCATCGTACCACCGAGTATCATCATATCTTGGCCACTTTACATAATGCCTTATTACAAACTCTGTTATAATAATTATTAATAATAATTTACGGTAAACTCGTCATCTTCCTAATAAACTCAATGGCGTAAAAAACTGGTTCATGGTTCAACGATATCATACACCAGCTCGAGGCTCCTCCGCGGAGCGAAGTAGGATAAAAAAATTAATAATAATTACACGCAAATTTGTAATAAAATATATGTTTAACTCAAGGTTTAATCGACATGGATTATTTTTGATAAATTGTTTAATTATTTCGCTTACAAAAATTTGGAATCTAAACTGAGACATTTTGCATGGAAAACTAATTTTTTTGGTTCAAAAATTTAGTAAAATTTAAAATCCTAACTGTAACTTCTTAAAATTAAGGTTAGAAGCTTACAACTTATTTATAATTTAAATTTTAAGCTTAAAAATTTTTAATTTGTAATAAAATTCTCGAAAATGTCTATAATTAATTTTGACCATTTTTTATTGGAATTCAATGATTTCTTCTTTATAATTGAGTTTTGGTTAATAATTTTAACAGGAAAGATCTTAAGAATTCCATTTAATAACAAAAAAGTTTGAATTCTATAAATCTGCACAATAAAAAACATTGAGGTTTAAAATTAAACTTCTCTCTTCTGTAGTCCCTGTTACACTTTTTTTAAGAAAATTGATTGAATTAATTATTTAATAGAACACACTAAAAGTTTTTTAAATTACTTAAAATTTAATTGGAGTCATACCTTTGTAAAAATGATCCTTTAAATATCCAAAATCCACATGTTGTATCCTCAGATAATGGCATATCCCTAATAAAACGATTAACTTCATCATCTAATTGTTTCTCAAAATCATCAAAATTTTTTTTATTATCACAGTTATTTTGATTTATAATTAATTTATTATTTAAATTATTATTTTTGTTTTTTAATAATGTATAATCATTACCATTTAATTTTGAAAATTCATTATTATCAACATGATTTTTTTCATTTTCATTTAATTTATTTGTATTATCATTATTATAAGGATTATCACCACCGCCACCACCGTCACCACCACCGCCACCTCCATTATCTATATCATTTTCATTATCATTTAATTTACTAGTTAATTTAACTAATTCTTCAGGTTTAGAATTTTCTAAATAACGTTTATCTTTAGAATCAATCATTATTGGATATTCTTTTGTATATATATATAAATGGTTACAATAATTATAAAAGAAAAATCTATTATTTTATTTTACACTATAATAGCAATAATTATTATTAATAAAGTTTTTATTTTTTTTTAGAAAATTACAGAAAATTTGATTTTTTGAAATAGAAAATTTCTTGATTCTTAAATTTAGAGCAAATGCATATAGAAATGCTCTACTAATTTTCTTTTTAATTTCTTGGTACTTTTCCTATTTTTTCTTTTTTCGTTAATTAAATGTTCACATTCCGATAATTTAGACCAGAGTACCGTTTCGAAAAATTGTTCATCATCTTTTATTCTGATTTATTTATTAAAAAAAAAGAGGAGATGTTTATGCTCTTTTATCATTGTTTTAAAATTTAAATCTTTAATAAAATATTAAAATTAAGATTAAAATAAATTCGTATTTTATGTGTATATTTGCAGCTATATTTATGTACTTTGGGTTGTACTTATGTATACAATATTGTAATATCGCATTTAAATATTAATCTTTTTTGTAAATATTTAGTTAAAATTTAATCTTTTATTCTACTTAAATACAATTATTAAGTCTTTCGTTTCTTCACTCGTCATTGTTTTAATTTCGAACGGCTGACTTTTCATTTCAATTTATTTAATTTTATTCTATTTATTTTTTTTTATTAACATACATCATTTATTATATATATTCGTACATATGTATATTTTAAATAAAATAATTAACTACTTTTTTTTTATTACTATCTATATAAAGTAGAAGTTAACTTTTGTGTATCTAAAGTATAAAAAAAAAATTTTTTTGATAAGTCATTTGTTAGGTTAATAAACCAACTATAACTAATATACTTAGCGCCAATATCATATGTTTGACAATCTAGAACAAAAAGTGAGTTCTGAAAAAAAATATTGAATAAAAAAAAATACTAAGTGTTAAGAACAAGTTGATAAGAACAATGACTAAAAAATTTTACTGTGTCGCAATTTTATATTAATCTAGCTTTGTCTGCTTTGTTATCTATACGAATGTATGTATACTGTTTGTCTCAGTAAGCCTGTATCATAATATTACTGAAATTATTTTTAACTAAAATATTCAAAATATTCAATTGATATTGGGTCTAATAATCAAAACAATCAATATGAATTTTAGTAGATTGGCAAGTCTATCGTGGAAAAATACACAAACAAAAAATGAAATCGATAAGAGTTCGAAATATTTCTAAATTTTAAAATTCATATAGCATATTTTGTCCTTGTATACTAAAATTGATAATAATTAATAATATACTTATGTATGTGTGTACAATTATTAGAAAAATATTATTATTATTATTGTCCAATTACGTCGCGCGACATGTTTCCAGAATTATAGCTGCCACTTATTCCCACAACATGATTACTGCAACTTTGAATAATTTCGGTATTTTTACCGGACATTTTGAACTTCAATATTTACATATTATAATTTGTGGACCTACGCAAATTTACATATAAATTTAAAATTGTTTAGTAAGGAATTATTCCCTATAGTCTAGTCATGGAATTTTCAAATTGAAAAACCATAAACATTTTATCATTTAATTTAGTAGACCCTCAGAAATTTAGGGGATTTAGTAGACCCTCGGGATGATAGAGGAATTGTAAAAAAGAAACATCAAGAACAGAAGAAAGTAAGAAAGAAAGGAATTATATTGAGGAATGAAAATTATTTAAGAAAAAATTTTAATAAAGAAAATATCCGACAACTCTGCAAAAGATATCGGAGTTTAATTGTAGATATTCTGAATCATGAGTGAATCAGGACAGAGTTTTACTTTAAATAACGAGAAAACCTGGGGAACTAAATTCTAATCTACATCGTGTAGTTAGGTTTTCCTAACAGAAAATATTTTAATCTAAACTTTTGTATAATAGCTAATAAAAATTTTTTAAAAGCTAAATATAAAATCCTTAAATAAATTCAATTTGATATTGAAAAAGTTAAATAAAAGTTAGTAATGACGCGTTGTGAAGATACTTGAAAATAATTAATTTTAAATTTGCTTATTGCAATAAATGCAACATGAGACGACCTTTAAATATTGACTCAAGTTGATAGGCAAATACTTCATATTTACAAATACAAATTACATGCATACTATATGTCTATATGTGTGTCTGTAACTACATGAGAAGCCGGTTTATTTCTAATAAAATATGTATGTAACTCTTAATTACTTGTACTATATATAACAGTAGTAATATATATAACATATTATATATAACATTTACCCCATAACACTTTGCTGAAAGGAGATGATTTGATCCGATTTTTCGATATCCAACGACACTTAATCGCAATTGCATAATTTTTTTCGATTTTTGACACCAAAAGCAATATAAAATTTTGAATATGAGAATATGAAGAATTGAAGACTACGATGATTTCCAGAATTAGAACAAGATAAGAAAATATTTGAAAATATTTAAAATAAGGTGGTTTATCAACCCGCTTAAGGAGTTTTATTGCCAAAAAAAATATGTTAAAAAATAAAATATAGACACTCAAATATTCAGGAGAATAAAGCTTTGTGCGAGAATTATCCGGTTCATTTTGAAAGATCATAATTTCATAATATTTTTGTCAAATTACGAAAAGTAATAAAATAATTAAAAATAGACATATGTAGGTAAATGTCTACGTAACGTCATATATCATAACATACAGATGCATAATATATCAAAACTGTAAGAGTAATTTCTATTCATAAATTAAAGGATTTGGAGGATTAGTCAAAAGAACAAATGAAAAAATTCTTAGAATTCTTATAATTACAATTTTTCTAACAAGTAGCACAAATACATATATTATAAATTTGTATTTATATTTAAATAAATGTGTTTATTTACCTATTTTCAATGATAAAATATAGATATGATAGATAATGTAATTAGATATTAACATTTTACGACATAACGAAATAATAATCTAATATATGGGTATATATCGCACCCATGGAATAACACTACACTAAAAAAAGCGGATGTGAACAACCGGTACGCGACACGAATGCTTATTTTCTGAATAATTTAAATCGCTATTTATTTATTTTTATTAGTTCATCAAAATCATGTGCACCCCAGATTATGAAGATGAAGAAAAAGCACAATTAGATATTTGAAATTTTAAGTAAGCTGTAGTGACCTTCCAGTTGATGGGCCGTCCAAAATATAAATTTGACTATTAACTTGCAAGTAAATCAGATGACTATTTCTTTACAATTGGGTGAAAAGAGAAATTCAGTCGAAAGTTGTTGGCAAATGTTTTTTTAGAAATCTTGATAAAGCAAAGAAAATTAACTTATTTTTTCTTTAAATAAATTAATAACGTAAAGTCATCGTTAATCCACCACATGGTCAAAGAAAGCTCAGATATAAATTTTTCATTAAAAGATACAGGAGTACACATATAATCTGACATCCATCTAAAAATAATTTATTTACGTTTCTCCAGCATAGAAAAACATGTTTTTGTCGAAAACTCAATGTACGAGTTCGAAATTTGTGGCCGTCACAAAACCAGCTTATTTTAAGTAAAGCTCACGACAAAATAGCTGACAAAATTAGCTTATAGAATTAGCACAAAACATGCACTTTTACAGCATCAATTTAACGCTATACAAAACAACTTGTGCAAAGTTACTTTCACTTATAAATCTTAGATTTTCATAAGATCGAATAGTAAAATTCTACCGTTCTGTATTGTTGTTCCATATGTGCGATACATGTATAAGAACCCATATTATATTTGGAAATCTAATATACTAAAAATGTAATCGAGACTATGAAAGTTAAGATTTTTATTTCTGTACTTCATTTTACTGTAGAATCTCAAATAATCTTTGTTTTTCGATATAAGTATTGTTAAAAACTGTAAATGTAAAAAGCTTTAACATATTTTCATAATATAATAAGTGACTGATGTTCAATAAAACACATCACTTTTCGAAACAAAATATTCTATAAATTTACAGTAAAAGCCCTTTTATCACATTTCTATAAAAATTAGGCAAAAATGTGTTTAATAGTTTCTTCCGGCGTATCTATATTCTATATCTGTTTAAAAAACTTCTACATCATTCAAGATATGAAAATGAAGCATACACAAACACATGTGAAAGTTCTATACAAAACACTTTATATATTTCCACCTTTATGCGTCTTCAAAGTGCTTCAAATTTTTATTATAATATCAATGAGAAAATATTTTAATAGATAATTTTCATTGGTCTGACCTACAAACCTATAAAGCCTTAGATTAAAATTGGAAGTGAGATATGATATTTTTACGATCAGCTACATTTTTAAATTAAAAATTTTAGGAAATTTTATTAAGGAATATTAGGAATATTAAGAACCATTTATTGATATTTTGCACTTATTTAACGTGAAATTTATAATTACTTTCTCAGTCACACTACTTAGTCACAACAGAATCAAAGAATCCTGAATTTAATGTGGGTGACTATAATGTCAATTAACAAAAGATTAAAAAATAACATTTCGTGATTGAGAGACCAATATGTTTTCACCCTTACGTGATGTACACATGAACACATGATAAATAATATGAACGGTTTTCATA